AATTTTGAGAGAGTAAATGGAGTAGATGAGAGAAGGATAGGGAAGATGAGTGGAGGGTGAAATTTTCTGGGCAAGATGACCAATAGTATCAAAGAACAGTTTGCCAAAATCCACGGGTAAACCCATCCCCAATTTGTACATGAGTACAGCATGAGGCTTAGTTACCACAGAGACATTTTTGGATGGAATCCAATTAGTCACTGTGAGTCTAAACAGGACAGAGTAGAAAGCAGTGAGTTGAGACACTTGGAATTTTCTTGGGTGTGCAGGCCAATTTTTTAAACGGTTTCCAGAAATAACTTTGCAAATCTCAGTAAAATCACCATAATTATCCTCATCAATCACAGTAGGAGTTTGCAAATGAGAGTTGATAATTTTGGGAGAAAATGAATAGATGGCATTGCGCACAAACACTTTACCAAAATTTGGAGAGTTTTTCTTTAAAAATGAGGTTTGCAAGTTGGCATAAAACTCCTTCACAACCAAGGGATCATAAGAGCAGGCAATCTCAACTAGGTTAAGGATTTTTCTTTGGTGAAGAAAAGCTGTTATCCTATGCCTATCAAATTCTTCCTTAGAAATTTTCTTTTCCTCAATGAAATGACAATTCATGACTTGAGGACTCAACAGTGAATCAGACTCAAAATAGAAATTAGGACTGAAGGCATTTGTTACCTCAAAAGGGGTTGACAAGTTCTTCCCATCCAGGTCTGGTTCTTCTTCTTCTGAGGAATCATCATCTTCTGAATCTTCAAGCTCATCAGGGACATATGCTGGTTCAGGTGATGCAGCACGTGGGGCAACACCTTCTTCCTGTTGAGAAGAGTCTTCAGAGGATTCACTGTCAGAATCAGAGGAAGGCAAATTCTTGCGAAAAACAGTTAGAGGAACCTCCCAGCTATCATCACTTTTCTCTGGATCTTCAGCCTGAGGAGGAGATGCATCTGCTTGAACTGTTGCTTCTGCTAGGGTTTCCAGAGGATCTCCATGAGGTGCTGATGGAGTTTCTTCTGTGGTGGTGAAGTCTTGAGCATCCACAGATGGAATGTCTACATGCTCTGCTGATGACATTCCAGAGAAATCAGGCATTTCTTCATCCTGATAAGGGGCAGCATCCTCAGCAGCATTCTGAGGAACATTTGCTGAAACAGTAGGTGCAGCAGCATCTTCTGGAGCATGTGCAGCAACACCTTCAGAGACAGGTGCAGCAACACCTTCTGAAACAGGTGCAGCAACACCTTCTGAAACAGGTGCAGCAACACCTTCTGAAACAGGTGCAGCAACACCTTCAGGAACAGAATGTTGAGAGGCTGCTGTTGCCATGCTGGGCTGCGACGTCTCCCCCTGAGTTGATGCTGGAGAAGGTGAGTTGTTGGATGATGACTCGGAGGAACTGGAGGACAAGGCTTGAGCCTGTGGTGCAGCAAATGTAGGGTCTCCTTCTTCATCATCAGTTTCTTCATCCACCAAATGAAGACCTCTTGGTGGATTTGACCTAACAGGAGTGCGGCCACCTCTGCCTCCTCTTCTTCCACCTCTGCTTCCTCTCCGGGGAGAGTTTTCTCCTCTTCGGCGTTGTGGCACCGCAGTGTTCAGATCTGGAAAAGGGTTCGTGCGCTTTGACCGGCGCGTTGGAAATCTTCCGGCGGTGGAAGAGGGACCCACAAAATCAAAGTTGTCTGGGTCAATCGGGTTCAGCTCGTCGCCGGGTTCAATGTAGCTGATAGGAACAGCTTCAAAGTTGATTGGATGAACGATGATGGCCAGATTTGGGTCTGCTGGTACAGGTGCTGCAGCATCGTTGTGGACATCACCATCGACGGCTGGAAGAGGATTTCTAGGTGGGGATGCCATGATACAGTGGGAAAAAATTGCTTCTTTGTGCTTTTGATTTTTGAGTGTGAATTTTTGAGAGAAGAAGCAAGAAATTTATAAGCCCTAATTTTGCTGAAGAAGAAAGGAAAAAATTGAAGTGGAGAAGGTGAAGAAGTGGTGTCCGTTTTTCTTGGGGAGAGTGTGATTAAGGAGAATAAAATTTCCTTGGCAGTTTAAAATAAAAACGTGACACATGGCACAATAAGGAGTAGACTTAGTGGAAAATAAGGAATTAACCCATGTACCCATGACCCATATAAATAGGGATAATTAAAATGAAGAGAGAAAAATCAATAAAACCGTAGCACTCAAGAAATATTCACAAATAATAGAGAAATACATTTATTAATGATTAATAGTGAGAAAAATTTGCTGACAGGCATAGATACTATTATATCTGTATATTTATATATTTATTATTATATATATATATATATATATATATATGTATATATATTTTTTTTTTTTTTTTTTTTTGTTATAATAATATATATATATATAAACTCTTATTTTCAAGTCAAACAATTCACATGGAACATGATCAAGTGTTCAGTTTGAAGGTTCCTCAGTTACTAAGATATGACTATCAAAATAGAGGAGTTTGACTTATGTGAGTGTAATTATTTGCTAAATGTTTACATGAAGCATGATCACGTTTCAAGGTGAAAGACTTCCAGTTACTGATTTAGAAAAATAATACACCACAGTGAAGTCATTATTTAATGAAGCTAATGCTTCAATAAATTGTGTTGCAGCTTAAGATATTTGATGAGATGCTGCAACACGTTTCAGGACATGTTTATTGAGTACACATCCCGAGAGATTTTCTGAGTTTTGAAAACCTCTCATAATCTAATGCCTTTGTAAAGATGTCAGCCAGCTGATCTTCTGTAGGAATGTACTTTAAGCACACAATATTTTTCTCAACTATATCACGAATAAAATGATGTTTAATATCTATGTGTTTAGTTCGTGAGTGTTGAACAGGATTTTTGAAATGTCAATACCTAGGAGGGTTGCCATATA